AGTAGTAAATAGGAAGTAGTTTATTATATACGAAACAGATGCCAAAATGATGGTATCTCGATGTTATGGTTATAAAAGAAGTAAGATGAGATGAGAGATATTTTGTTGGAAGTATCTTGATGTGGTTTGGAATCAATCATCACTTGCTGTCATGGATCAATTTTCGATATTATTGTTGATGGAAAAAGTGTATAGATCTCTTTGCTTTATATGACTAGAGTAACTTTAAAAAGTTTTTACACCCTGGTTTAAAAATTTTGTTTCTTTTTTTTTTATCTCTCGTTGCACCTCCACCCTCCCAATGTACACCCTCTCTACCTCTAATCTTTTCTCGTTGCAATATTGTCGATAAGTATCTCGAGACGGCTCTCCGAGGCACACGAGGTACGATCTGCGTAGTGGTACATGCCACATGATACTTTGATGGCGGCCAGCCAGAAGTAAATCTAAGGTTTACGAGGCAGTACCGCCTCTTACTAGCACCTCCTCGAGCACTGCCCACAGTTCCATGGGGCAAAGCGAAGTAAGTTGCACGGTTCTTAGGGTCTACGACCACTCATAATTCTCATAATAAATCGTTTCACGAACAACCGACGCGCGTTGTTTGCCGCTCTCGATATATATTATATAAAGGAAGCTGTCCAATCAAATAACATTTAGAGTCAAACACATTTTTTCTTGATTTTTCGATGTCAAATTATTTTTTTTTGACAAATTTTGTTTCGATTCGTACATTTGAAAAAGAGGAGTTATTTTAACTCCCAATGGGAGTAGAAGTAGGTACTCCTTTTGGAGTAGAAGCAAAAGGAGTTGATGATATCTTTTGTTACTTACTTTCGGAGTTTATTTTTAACTCCAAAAATTTTACATCCATCTCTGGTTGTCATAAAAAATTTGTAGAATTAATTACAACCATTGGGAAAATTATACACGGTTAAAAAAGGAGTTGAATTTCAACTCCCTAGGGGATGCTATAAAAGTCCCACCTTTTTGGAGTTGAAGCGAAGGGAGTTAATGCTTTTCGAGTTAATTTTATGCCTAGGGAGTTAGTTTTAAGAAGTTAATTTAATTATTAACTCCCTTTTTGAGTTGATTTTTAACTCGAAAAATTTAACTCCCAGTAACGTTAACTCCCTCATTTTTTTATAGTGTATAACTCCCTACACTTTTTACATTGTTCACTAAAAAATTTCCTGAGTTAATGGCAACCAAAGTTGGGAGTAAAATACTTAGGAGTTAAAAATCAACTCCAAATGTGAGTTGACATTAGATTAAGTCACATAGCATTAACACCCTTGGCGTAAAATTAACTCCTTTAGCATCAACTCCCTCTGCTTCAACTCTAAAAGAGTGGAATTTTTATAGAGTCCCGTTGGGAGTTAAAGTCTAACTCCCTTTTTTTTACAGTGCACTCTCTCCTAAACAGTAAAAAAGAGTTAAATTTTAACTCTATAAAAATCACATTTTTTTTGAAGTTAAAGCTGAAGGAATTGATGCTAAGGGAAATAATTTTAAACCCAAGGAGTTAAGAGTTAATTTTCCGCCTAGGGAGTTAATCTAATGTCACCCCACCTTTGGAATTTGATTTTGGAGTTGATTTTTAAATCCCAAGTATTGTACTCCCAACTTCGGTTGCCAGTAATTCTAGAAATTGTGTACAGTGCCCTATTGGAAATTGGACTCCAACTTTACACCAAAAAGATTGAAATCATGTAGTTTCAATCCCGAAACGTGTGAATTTAACTCCCTTTTTGTAAAATATAACTTTCTTTTTGTGCAATATAACTCATGAAATTTTTTACTGTAAAAAATTTCAAGAGTTAATGCAACCGGAGTTGGGAGTAAAATTTTTGGAATTAAAAATCAACTCCAATAGGGTGTGACTTGTATAGAGTCCTGTTGGGAGTTAAAATCTAATTCTCTTTTGTTTACAGAGTTCGATTTCTAACAGTCTGTATACTGTAAAAAAATGAGGGAGTTAACGTTACTGGGAGTTAAATTTTTCGAGTTAAAAATCAACTCAAAAAGGGAGTTAATAATTAAATTAACTTCTTAAAACTAACTCCCTAGGCATAAAATTAACTCGTAAAGCATTAAATCCTTCGCTTCAACTCCAAAAGGGTGGGACTTTTATAGCATCCCCTAGGGAGTTAAAATTAAACTCCTATTTTTTACAGTGAATATTGATTTAATTTTCTATTTTGAAAATGAAAATATTGAAAAATATTTGATTTGTTTCAAAAATAAAAAATTAATTTTCTAACCTGAAAAAACTCTTTCCAATCGTATAATGTAGAAAAAATTTCCATCAAGTCAAAAATAATTTCTTAAAATTTTAAAAGAATCGTAAATATATTTTCTAAATGGAAAATTAATGAAAAAATTTTTCAGTTTAATTTGCTCCTATGAGAAACAATATTACGAATTATAATTATCGGGAAAAGATGAAAGAATATAAATGATTTATTAATAAAGTTTATTAATAAAGTTTATTAAATTGGATTTTTTTCAAGTATACTTAAAAAAATCTATATAGAAAATACAATATCAAATGCATTATATATATGTTTATATATATGCCGCAGCGCGTCTTGTGTATATAATTAGGCTTGAGATAAATGAGTTGTAAAGATTATTATAAATTTCAGTTTTCTTCAAAATTCATCATAGCTTGTTTGGAATAAAAAAAAAATAATAATATTCGAAAAACCTTTGGAACAATCGCTCGCTGTTGTAAGGGCATAAGGTCTAATCTATAGAAACTGTTTTACCAAAGACTATATCACTATAGAATATATATCCGTATATATAAACATAAGCGTGGTCGTAGTCTTCGATAATATAGTTATTACCAACAGGGGGGCCCTCGGGTCATAAGAAAGCGACGAACCCAGCATTAAAAACCAATTTTTAGTCCCGAAAAAACCTCCGCTCTTGGATCGTAATAACAGGTCTGATAATCTATAGTAGGTTTTCTCTCTGGGACGAAGAGCTCAGGCCCTATAACTTCCAGACTAAGAGTGGACAATCGACTAAATTGATGCCCCTAGCCTCTGCTTCCATGATTTTTTTCAATTATAAAATCATCCAACAGCTGTCAAACGTGCTTTCTCTCTCTCTCTCTCTCTCTCTCTCCCTCTAGCCCCCCGAAAGATGCACGAATCCACTTAGGGATCTCTTTGAATTTCAAGGTTAGCTTCTTTTTAAATTAAGACATTGATCCCGTTTCACCAACACTTTTGCAATTTTTTTTTTTTTACTCTAGTCTGTAAACTTCCCTCGATAAAAAAGTATATGTACACATATCGGAAATTAAAAATAAAAAAGGGGAAAAAATTTTTAATAATTGAAACAAAAAATTTGCTCGAAATTGAAGGATTTGTTTTTTAATTATAAATTGAGGAATTAATAATTTTTCTATAAAGATGTTCTTTTTATCTCAATTGGATATGAAGAATTAATTTTAATTTAATTTTTTAAGTAGAAAAATCATTTATAGTCAGACAAGATTCACCTGGAGGAAAAATATTAATTTTATTAAAATTTAACTTTAGAATTTAATTTTCATTGAATAGTTATAAAAAAAAATTACTATTTTGATACTGAATTGTTTTTTTAAGTAGAAAAAAACTGTCACAGTCAGACAAGAATTTTTTATTAATATTTCTATTAAATAAATGCTACAATAATAATTTATTATGTAATTGCAATTAATTATTATATATAATTTTTGTTGCAGTAAATAAAAATTTTAAGTAGAAAAAACTGCCAAAGTCAGACAAGATTTGCTTGTAGATTCCATCAATCTTAATTTTAAATTTAATCTTTATCTTCTATAAAAAAAAATGTAAATTATTTTAAAATCTGAAACGTGAATATATATATATATGTAAATAAATAATTAAATAATACATACTTAAATTTTGTTGTCAAGTCAAAATACCAATACATCGTTTTTTTTTAATGTCCAAAATCTTTTGAAACCATCAAATTATCTTAAACGTTCATTATCCAATCTTTCAATTTTCAAATTCAAGTATGCGGTTTTTGTTTCTTTTTTTTTCCTTTTTTCTCTTTCTCGGAGGGAGAAACCTATCAATGAAGCAAAATGGCACTGTTTCACAAAGTGGGTGGAGTAGTTGATCGAAAAGTGTTACTTGATCGATTCTCTTATGGAGATAATGGATTCTTGTTCTCGAACAAAAATGAAAAAAAAAAAGAATTCAAAAAGGAGCAGCATCATCATCATCATCCCCCGCCTTTTTATTTCGTTTCTAACAAATTTGCCACTGCTCTCGCACACTAAATCAAAAAATAAAAAAAAAAGAAAGATAGAAAAAAAACTGGTCTGACATCCTTTGCTCGACTCTTAATAGAATTCGACCAATTATCCCACGCAAAGCACCCTGTTATATACCTAGATTTCTATTAGCCACATTATATTCTCCGAGAACGCCAAGGCAATTACCTGCGCGAGAGTTGGTAAAAAATGGATCTGGGACGTTATTAACTTTATGAGTATATGGAACCGTTGACGTGTTATACGTCCCCTTCTCTAATATAGATTCTTCAGTAGAAATTCGCAAGCTGAAATTCTTTGGTGCTGTAACCCTATCATAAAAATTTAATTCCTTTTTTTTTTATACTCAGTCCAATTTGTCGGAAGACCTTGTCATGAGACCGGACATTGTTACCATTCGATATGAAAAGAAAAAAAAAATAGAAAAAAAAATACAGATTAGATGCTACAGATTAACACATGAGTCAACACATTTTTTGGTGTTATATATAGCTCCTGAATTGTGTCGAGTAAGACATCTGCTGGAATTGATTCCCAATGATATTTCATATATAGTTAGATAATAATCAACACGAAAAAATACAAATTTAATATTTTTAAATTTTTTTCTCCATATTTTGACTTATTTTCTTTTTAATATTATATTACGTTTATGATTTGAATTTATTTTACAATTTGAATTTTTTTTTCTTTGTTTCAGATGCAAAGGAGCAATCATTCAACAAAGTGGTGAGTGTTTTTTTTTATAAATATTCTGATTTGTAACTATTTTTTGTTTATTTTAGTGAAATTAGGCAAATTTTTTTTTAGCCTTATTTTCATTCAACAAAATAAATTTCCCCCAATGCTTATTTGGTACATTTTTATATTTAACTGAATTCCTATTTAATAAAATTTTATATTTAACTGAATTCATATTTAATAAAATTATTATTTAGCTAAATTTTAATTCAACAAAAATGCTTATTTGATAAATTTCATACTGAAAAGAATTTCTATTTAAGAAAACTTTTATTTAGCCAAATTTTCATTCAACAAAAATGTTTATTTAGCAAAATTTTCATTTAACAAAAATGCTTATTTGATAAATTTTTTTATATTTAACTGAATTCCTTTTTAACAAAATATTCATTTAGCCAAATTTTTATAAGATAGGATTTTTATTTAAGCAAATTTTCATTGGGCGAAATTTTTGTTTAGCAGAAATTCTATTTAGCACAATTTTTATATTATCGTGCAAATAAAGAATAAGTATAATGGAAATTTTGCTGTACTTAAACATTTGGTTGACTAAAAATTATGTTAAATTATAATTCCGCGAAATGAAAATTTGGTTAAATGAAAATTCGGCAAAATGGAAGTTCTGTTAAATAAGAATTCTGAGAAATAAGAAAACATAATTTTTTTCTTGATGAAAATTCAGTTATTATATTAATTATTATACTACATTAATTTTTAAACAGATTCTAAAATCCGAATCATCAAATTTTGATAGAAACGCATATGAATAAGTTCTAAAAATTTTGTTCACAAATAAAAATTCTGAGAAATGAATAACACTCGATGATGGAAAATAGAGTTTATTTATTTATTTTTTTTTTTTGAAAATTTTGTTGAATGGAATCGTATATATATATAAGGGATATTTACAGTTCGGTTATACAATTTGGTATGGTATTTGAATATTGGCGTTGGCTTGCAATAAATTTCTATTAACGGGAAATGGCGCCGCGGCGTTCAAAACAATTGCCCATTAAATCGAACGGTCCCACAGCAGATAATAACTAGCAATAATCGGCGGGACACTGCACTGGTTATATTCGGTTATATTCAGTGTATAGGAAACAAGTAGTGTGCGGGGGCCCCATCGGAGACTATACCCAACAATATTGGTACAAAACAAGGCGAGCATCGGTAATGAGAGGCCAATTAGAACACCCCGTCGATGGAATTATCTCCCCCCCTCCTTCTCTCCCTCACCCCTTCCACAGTTTGCTCTTCGACCATTCGAAATTCAAACTGGCTGCCGTGAGCGTTCCTCTTAATGCCTTGAAGGCACGCGAGCAGCTTCTGCAAATGTGCTGCGAGCGCGCCTTCACATCCAGATCACGACATTTAACTTTGATCGACTTTCAATCTTGACTTTCTCCATTCTGAAAAGGGGGAATATTTTTTTTTTTTTTTTTGCAATGAAAAAGAAATTTATTTGATTCAAATAATCAGTTATTTGATTATTAAATAAATATTTACTTGAGCCAAATAATTTTTATTTGAATTAAATAAATTGTATTTGGACCAATATTTTTTGTATTTGAAACAAATATCACTTAATTGAATGAAATAAAAATTATTTAGTTCAAGAAAATTTGAATCAAATAAATACTTTTTTCATTGTATAATAAGAATAGAGGATAATTTTAATAACTTTAATTTCTTTGTAAGTAGAAAAATCTTTTATAGTCAGACAAGATTCACCTAGATATAAATATTAATTTTATTAAAATTTTAAATTAGAATTTCTTTCGCTTTGAATAATATAAAAAAAATAATAAATTACTATTTTAATATTGAATTGCTTTTCAAGTAGAAAAAACTACCAAAGTCAGACAAGATTGTTTCACAAATATTGCTGTTACTTTAAAATTGAAACAATTTTTTTTTGGTTTTAAATAATTTTAATTATTAAATAATTATTATTTACTAAATTATAAAAAACTTATTTACTTAATATTTCAAGTAGAATAAACTATATTAATGTCAGACAAGGTTAATTTAGATATAAATAATAATTTTAGTAAAATTTTACTTTAGAATTTATTTTGTGTTAAATAAAACAATTAAATAATTACTATTTTTCTTCTAAATTTTGTTAAGTGAAAAAAACTGTCATAGTCAGACAAAGTTGTTCTATAAAAGTTTCTGGAAATTATGTTAAAAAAATTTTTTTGTTTTAAATAATTCTAATTACTAAGCAATTACTATATAAATTATAAAAAATACTCTTTTACTAAATTTTTTAAGTGAAATAAACTTTCATAGCCAGGCAAACAATTTCATTAGAAAATTTTCAATCAGTTAACAATTATTGATCAATTAATCCTATTTTAATATCTCCCAATTTTTCTGTGTTAATGATATACATTGAAAAAAATTTATTTGATTCAAATAATCGGTTGTTTGACTATTAGCAAATAAATAATTATTTAGTCAATTAAATAATATTTGTTTCAAGTTCAGAAATTATTGGTTCAAATACAATTTATTTAATTCAAATAAAAATTATTTTTTTCAAGTGAGTAATTATTTGATTCAAGTAAATGTTTTTTTTTTTTTTTGATAATATTAAAGTAACCGATTATTTGAATTAAATAAAATAACAAATTATTTGAATGAAATAAATTTTTTTTTCAGTGTAGAATAAAATTCACTTGCAATTTGTACTTCTATAATTTTACCTTGAAATAATAATTTGTTAAATAAAAATAAAAAAATCGTGAGCGGGGATCAAGATACAAATTTGTATAAGTGGAAAATTCATTCACTTTGATCAAATTTTCTCTTAAAACAACGAGACACGCCCTTATGGCAGCCAATAAACACGGCATGGCTTATACAGAACGAGAAGACAAATGTTTTGAAGATGACTCGACGAAACGAGTATATACACTCTTTTTTTTCTCTCATATAGTTTTCGTTGATTTCGCGGAACCTGTTTATTTTTTATTAAATGATCCATTAGTCCAAGCAGCATGACCACGTCACGATGGATCGCGTCACGTATCGAAGGGGGGTATATACACGCCTCGTTGATGAGTCTATTATAAAATTAATAACTATAAATCTTTGATCGACACGACGGTAGCACGTGGCTCTTCTTAATTATATATACATATATATATATATACGGGTTCGCAAATTAAGTGCGACTGAAATAACACTCAGATGAATTTATTTTTCTTTTCTTTGTATAATATTTCGTTTATATATATATTTTTTCTACCTTTCCTTTTTCCGAATATTTGACAATGAAAAAATTTATTTATCGCAAATTTTCGTTTTTTTATCAAAATTCATAATTCGGTTATCTTTTTTCAAAAAGAAATAGAAACGATTTTATAAAAGCATACATTCGTTTTGAAATTTTTAATTTTTTTTTGATGCAAGATGCTGGGTCCAATTTTGCGTGTCGAATGAAGGGAAAACAACTTAAAAAGTCGGTCAGTTTGTGAAATTTTTTGAGAACATATGCGCTAGAGTCCAATTAACCCTGAAGGCAGACGAAATTTTAAGAAACGAAAGATGTGTCGACAGATATAACTAATTTTCTTGTCAAAAAACAAATGACGAGCCGTTAACACGTATTTGGTAATTTTTTTTTTTGACAACGACTCTCTAAATTTCTTAGGAAAAATAAAATAATGAACGGCTGTGTTTGAAAAAGTGCATTGGCAAATAAAAAAGAAAAAAGACAGCAAAATCAAGAAGTCACGAAATATTATTTTGTATATTTTCGTTTAGATAGGGTTATAATTTTTTTTGTTGTTAATTTTGTCTTTTTCATACCGAAAAAAGTATATTAAAAATATAAATTTTTTAAAATTTAAAATTTGTGAAAATAAAAATTATTTAACGACGAGAATAATTTCGGCAAAAAGAATGGAGAATTAATTTTAATACTTAGGAAAGAGTTGGCTTTTGTGAAAGTATAAATTTTATAGTAGATAGGAGTTTAAAATTGAATAATTGAGTAATATAATTCTGTTACGTGTAGGTTGCACTGTATTATAAGTGTTTGACTTTCCATAAATTTCCTTGCAAGACTCTTGTCTTTTGGATGAGGTTAATGCTAAATGGTTATACTATATACGAACAAGTAACATCTCACTTTCTCGATAGACAAGACATCGTGAGGTATAATTGGATAGGTCATTTCTAGTCCACGGCATTCAGTGTGCCCCCCCTCTCTCTCTGTCTTTCTCTGCCTGCTATCATATAACTTATGTAGCAAGGTGTGAACTCTTTAAGCGTGATGTCGGCTCGTCAGCAGTCAGGGAAGGTGTTGGGCCACGATCATTTATTATCTCGAGATTGAATTTCTCCTCTCTTGGCTGCTCGACCGCGCCTCGGTTTAATTAAAATATCGTTATGGGTAGGCGTGGATTCGTGCCGCTGTTGCTTTTCCCCTCTTTTTCACCTCCATTATTCGAACACAAGATGAGACTGAACGGAAAGAAATAAATAACGAGCCAAGAGTGAGAGAGTAAGAGAGAAAAAGGAGAGGAAAATTACTAATCCCAGCTTCCGTGGTACTGTTTGACTTTTATGGTCTTTAAAGACAGTCTAATAATCAAGTATAACCGTTCTTACAAACTCTAGAAATCTATACCATATATATATATATAGAAATCAGTTCAATCAAATTGTATTTTTCTATTTCTCTTTGAAATTAACTCTTCTTATTCTGGCATTTTCCTTTAAATATCAATTTCAGGAACGAATATAATTTTCTAAAACTATTTAAAGTTGGAAAAATTTTTTGCTCGAAATTATTGAATTTAAAAAATTTCTCGGAAAAATTGCGGCTATTTGTAATGTTTTGCGAAAAACTTTAGGCAATATTAATATTATTTTGGCAATTGGACAAAATATTGGAAATCGTTTTTATTTACTAAATATTGCCGGGAAAATTTACGGCAATCTTACTAATATTGCCAGGAAAAGCAACATTA